AAAAAAAAAAAAAAAAAAAACCTGCAGAAAAAACCCCCAAAGCAGCACATGCTCAGGCAGAACGTGCTGCTAAAAAGCGGAGCTGGGCCACTTGGAGCCACATTGCAGCTGCTGGCCAGGCTTTGCCCAGCAGGATTGCTGTGGCTGCAGCCACAGGAGGTCCCCAGGATCCCAGGTAAGGCTGCTAGGGCCAGCACAATGTTGGCCCCAGCCTCCCCTGCTGGCCCCGGGGTAACTTGCCGTGTGCCAAAGCGTGCGTGGCATGGGCATTCCCCAGGGACAAGTAGCTGCGGCACAAGGTGCATCACTGCTACTTGTCCCTGGGGAACCAAAACATCTATGCACGGCTGGACGCACCCTCTGAGTTCTCTGCAACAGAAACTGCTCTATAACTTTTCCATGATGGAAAAAATAGTGAAAAGTAAAAGCTAGCAGGGATGGGCTAGGGATGGTGCTCAGCACACATTTAGACTGAGCTGATCCATGCAGTGGTAATATTAAAGCTAGTCCTGGAGGAGGAGGAGGCTGTTTGCATGCCTGTTAGAAAAAAAAATTATGCAATGACTCCACTAACGAACATCTCTGCTGATCCCTGCTGGGAAGGTAATACAGAAAGGAGTAGTCACTAAGATTCTACCTGGTTTGTCATGGGCTTATCAGCTGCTGCTGTGCACACAACTCAAATAGCAATGCAAGTAGAAAAAAGGATGCTTGACTCTTCTATATGGGTGACCAATGGCTGTGAAATGTTCCAGTACACAGATAACAATGACAAGTTGAACCTGTAGTATGGGTAGGAGGCACACTGGCTCCTGTAAGTTACAATGCTCAATCAGCTCTTTGTAAATTATAAGTTTCTTCATCTTCATCTCACTGCAATAGTTGATATGGCTTGTTTTTCTTAACAGTACTGTTTTATAATGGATGAGTCATTTATTGCTAATGGCCATCTTATCAGGCATTGTAGGTGTATGTGACAGGGCTATTATTCACCAGTGAATTGGCTCAGAAATGGTACACTATTTATGAATAAATATAGCAGAGCGACAGTCTGTAGCAGGCTTACCACACAACGTTTGTTTCTGGAGAATTTTGTCCTGGCCTTCTTACATAGATGGTGCTTTCAACAATACAGAAATGGAAATTAGGGCATTAAAGAGACACTTGAGGGACACTGAACACATTTGAAATAGTTTTTCTCTTTCACATTTCTAGACAGAAATAACAACATTTGTTTTGTGGGTAAAATTTTTGCGGGGAGGTGAGGTCCAGAGAATGATGACATACCACTCATTTATTCCACACGGTATTGTTTTTGCATTAACTCTTTTCCTTCTTGGAACATTGTAAGGTACTCCACCCACAACGACAGAGCTATGGGCTGCGAATGCTTTTAATTTTTGAATGGAACTTCTCAATGGAGCCTTATGTCTACTTCCTCCGTAATTTATTTATCTGATCTATATGCCACTCTTCCCAAAGGCTCTGGGTGGCTTAGTTAAAAAGTCCCAAAGAACAAAACAAAAAAAACCCTTTAAAAACAGGAGAGTGAAAAAAAAGGATCAAAAAACTTAAAAGGAACTAGACCATCAAGATAGAACAGAAATCTCCTAAACAGCATCTCATCCTAGTTGTATAACTAGGTATTTGTAATATGTACAAAGATGAATTAATATTTATGTTAGTATTGCATAAAGGGTAAGAGACAAATGGCGAAGCACAAAAAGACTATACAGACTGAGCCCACATCTTAGGTCTCACTTTCTGATGATAGGAGTTGCCTTTTTATTCAGTACATCATCCATGTGGCTTCCGTATGCAATTTTCTTTAATGTATGTAAATACCAACCAGCTGCTATGGCTATGCTTGCTATATCAATTAGCAAAAATATCAATTGCCATATCAATTAACAACTCACATGCATAGGGCAGAGGCAGGAGGGGGAGTTTCAGGTATGATTGAGAAGGGAGGAATGAGAGGGTATGCAGAGCCCCTTAAATGGGCAAAGAGGGGCAACGGTGAAGGGGACAAGTAGAATGAGCAGGAGCAGAAAATTGGCATGTGGGGCAAAGGAGGAGAAATGAGGGTCCAGAAAGCTATGGTGGGGAAGAAGAGGAAGGGTAAATGGAGGGAAGGAAGAAATGCCATGTTGGTAGAGAATGGCATAAGGGGGGGAAAGACATGGAAGGAGAATGGGGTTCCCTTACATGGGAGAATGGGTGACAGAGCTGCTGGTATCGGGTTGCAGCAAGTTCTTGAAATATGGAGGTGGCACATAAAGACCTTGTAGGGGAGAAGGGAGGGATGAAGGGTGCCCCTGGTGTGTGCGCAACCCCTTTAGTTAAATTGGCATAACCTGGCTGGGCCATTTTGTCCTGTGATACAGATTCACAGCATCCAGCATTTGGACAAAGGTCACTTACCAGTTGTGGACGGCAGCCAGGTTCTGCACAGTAATCAACAATTCAGAGGTGAAAGATCAGCATTCCTCACTTTGTTCCTCACCTTGGAGCTATCAAGTCATTCATTATTTGAAATTTCTTTAAAAATAGCAAACAATGCTTACAAACACGAAAATCATACATAGGCATCATCTGTAACATCATCTGTAAGGCTAGTGAGTTCTGGCGTTTTCTTAAAAGCCCCTGATTCTGAGTTAATAAACAAAGTAACATAAATATTTTGGTTATCTCCCTTCTCTTTTTAGTTTTCTGTTTTCAAAACTATAAAGAAACACTTGACAACAGGAACCCTAAAAGCTCAAAACCCAGAGACTTTTCTTTTTTTTTTTTTTAATTTCTTCAATTCTTGACTCTTCTCTTATTGAAAAGTTAAAATCTGCCCGTTAGCATTTAGAATGCTGGGTTGAAATTAAATTGTTCTAAAAACAAGTCTTGTTCAGAAACTAAGTATTGCAAAAATGTCTTTTCATTTGACAGGTCAAGAAATCCATGGAACAACAGGAGGGAAAAATCATTGAGCAACACAAAGCTAGTAAGGAATTTACAAAACAAACATGCTTGGATTAAAAAACAAACCAAAATGAACCCCCCAGCCTCCCCTCCCCATAGCATGAAACAACTTGCTTGATGTACAGACATGGTTAGGATAGGGGTGCAGTAGGAGAACGGGTTAGGCATCTTGCTACTTCGAGTGCTAGAGGTGTGAGCTTAAACCTCACTTAAGACTCATGACAGAGGCTTCCCCAACCTACCCAACTGTAAATAGGCACAACTTTCCACTTAGGTTGGGGACTCAAGAAATATTTACTATGCCACTCCCTTCAGCTCTGGGCTTCAGAAATGGCATGACATTAACCACACTAAGTCAAGATGCTAATAAGGCTTGGGTGGAGTTTTGATGTTTTGAGATGGCTGTCTTTCAGTGGAAATATTTCCTGTGACAGATTTTTTGAAACATGTTTATAAATCACAGTACTCAAATGTTCAGATATTTGCTCTGGGACACTTTTTATTAATTTATTTATTCTTTACTACAGTACTTCAATTACAAGCTTGGTTGATGGTCTCAAATACAGTTATTTCCTCCTGTTGCTAAGAGTAGCTAAGATTAGATTCATTACAAATAGGAGTTGGTGCCTTCAGATTGGTGTTTTTATGTTAGATTTAGGCAATAATGTTTTCAATGTATAGGTAACAGCCCTTTCGGTCATTAAGTGGAATGTCACCCAATCATGTAGGAAACCAGTTTCAACTTAATTTTTTTTTGTTGAGATTTCAGGCTTGTTTTGCACTCACAGAGCTTCAGTACTAACCACAGAAAAGAGGCTCATTGCAAAATACAGAAAATTTATTAATCAGAATTATACATTTTTCTTCTTGATGTATAAAAGCAAAGGTATTTGCAAGACTTCACATACGTGGGTGTGTACGTGCGTATACACACACACATGCGTGAAACGGAGTGTAGCAACTGCTGATGTAGGAGGAGGAATGGGCACTTTTTAACCAAACAGACACTGGCATCTTGAAATCTCGGTGTAAGATATGAGCTTCAATAGTTCTGAGGACACCACCAGTCTTTGAGTCCTCCTGCCAACTGCTGTGGTTTCACAACCACATAAGACTGTTTTAGAATTATTTTGCTTCTTCCCTAGTGCTATGTGGTACACCCAGACAAATACGAGGGAGTGGAGAGAGGAAATTAAATTGGCTATACACCAAAGGCTGTCAAAGACACAAAATAAGCACACAGACAAACATACCTTCTTTCCCCTCTGATTTCTTTTGGTTACAGTAATCTTTGCTGCTTCTCCTAATTATATGAGCTAAAACATTTTTGGACAGAAGAGGGATTAAGTTGACTGTTTAGCTGGGATTCACCATGCTACCTGTGGGGCTCTAAACACTCAGACACCACAGAGGTGGATCCTGTGTGACAATCCAAACAGAACAAAATGCATGGGATGGCGACCCAAGCTGGCATTCCCTGTAAATGCTCTGAGTTCGAAGCATAACAAATTTACTACTTTACTCCACTGAGTGTTTGCAGATGCAGCCTAGAGCACATGACCTATTTCTGTTAACAAGACTGTGCATAAAACAAAAATCAGTACCCTCAATGTTTTGCAAAGCAATGTGAATAGAAATATAGTTCAGGCTCAGATACTGAGTTCCAGTGCAGGGCTGAACAGCAAAACACAGAAGCCGAGCAGTGACCTTGGCGCTCCCTCAATCTTGGGTTGCTTCTGTGCCAGCCTGGTACCTCAAGGTAAGACGGAGCAGCTGGAGGGCTTCTTTAAATAACACTAACTAAGGATCACTAACTAAGGATTGCTGAAACTCCCAGACACGTACTGTAGCAGCAGTGTGGCAGGTAGGTGGGTGGTGGAGAGGAAGTTATGCTGGATCCATGCCACTAAAGAATTTCCCTGAACTTGGTGATCCCCCTATGGCCAGTTCTGCTGGCATTAGGGTGGCTTTGCACTGGCAAAAAAGCACCACACAGCCACACCACACAGTACAGGGACTGGTCACAGAGTGTATGTTAAATTGATTTTTAAAAATGGTGTTGCCTTTTCTCTCTTTAAAATTCACAATAAAATGGCTTTAAAGTAGTTTCTAATAAAAAGAAGCTAAGGAATAAGAATCCTTTATCTCTATATCTGATATACTTTTAAATAAATACTTTTAGCTATAACTCTTGCAGTTTTTGGTGACAGAGTGCACAAAACTTAAAAACAAGAATTTTTAAAGTTGAAATCAACAATCATTACTTTCAAAATAAACTTAAAGGGCTTAAAACACTGAATGTAAAGTTACAGGAACCCAAAAAAATACACTAACTACACAGAAATTATAAATACAAGGTTTTAACAACAACATGCATGCTTTTCAACACTCCATCAGCAATTTACAAAAAATAGGAATATAAGAGAATCTCTTTAAAATCAATCTAAACTAAATAAATAAACTCAAAGTGGTGTACTGAACCAGCCAGTAACATGTTGAGATAAAAAAGCAACTATCCCATAACCCTTTATAGATTACCCTAGCATTACAATACTGTAAAACAAAAGGCCCTTTGGGGAGAAAAGAAAAATTATTCTCAAGTTTAATTTAGAAAACAAACATTTTGCATTAAACTAGACATTTTAAATTATTAGTTTTAATATAAAGCTACAACAAAGGCTTTTTAAGGTATAACTCAACTCAGGTTCAGTGCTGGGAACAACAACAACAAAATCATACATGCAACTTATTCTGGAAAACAGTGATTTTAAGATTCACTTTACAAATAATCCTTTAAGGATGACAGTGCATTAGAAGTGTTCAAGCTTGCTAGAGAGGCAATTCATTTGTAAATCCCAAAAAGCATGATTTTTTTAATATTCTGAGTTATGTCTTACTCCTTTGATCTTATGTTACTTTATGTGGTACAGTCCTAGACTAGGACATAATGTATCATACAACACTAGTAAGCATGTAAAATGTTGGATGGAGTGAATTGCAGCCCCTAAGAACACTGTCCTGAGATACAGCAGAAATAGATTTTTACCAATACCTACTTCAGGACTCTACCATTGGCTAAATCCATTATGCCACTGGCAGAAGCAGTTGCAATATTCTGGCCAAGATGAGCACAAAGGGCTCTGAAGATCAATTTTGCTTTTCATTATCATAGCAGTGGTTCCCTCCTCTACCAAATGTGAAGGTAAGAAAATAAATTAAAATGATAAGAATTCATTACTAAAATGTAAATAGCAAATATTTGCACCTGCACATAATGCAGACTAAAAAAATAGGACAAATGTGGAGACTCAAACCTCAGCCCCGGGAGCAAAGCCAGGTGAACATGCCTGCAGGAATGAGGAGGGAGATGGGGAAAGAGACATGGAATCCTCATTTCCAACCCAGGAGTAGGGCCTGGAATACCTGGGACACGGTGGAGTTGCTTCCAGTTACTGTCATGTCCGGATAACTGCACAGTTGCAGTGGCAGCAACAATCTCCTGCTTTCTACTTACGCAGCTTCCAGGCCACATACTTCCATGTCTGCTCTTTCTCCTCTTCTATCCCCAGTCCTACAAGTTGTTAAGGAAAAACTTCACTCAAGTCAAAGTGCAGGTGCAGTGACACCAGGAATTCATCTACTCCTGCTGTGGTAATAAAGGGATTTTAAATCAGATTTTCAAAAGCACTGTGTTCATTTAAACATTTCAGGCTCATTTTCATTTAAACTTAAACACTGAGTTCCCAACACCCACAGACTGTTAGTGGGACTTCGATGCCAACGGTCTGGATCCTGTGTTACAAAAGTCAATAGGAGTTTTGTCATCTGTTCCAGTGCAGATCAAACCCCAGAAGCTAGGTCTACAGGGGATTTAGGTGTCTGCCTGCAATTTCAGCTGAATGAATCCAATGTTCAGGCACCATGGAGATCATCCAAACCTCATCTTAAAAGCTGCCTAAGCCCTGTAAATTCCTAAAACTCACCAAGAGCCAACCCACACAAGTTCTGACACTGCCAAGCTGGTTGGTGCCCTAGCTCATGCCTAAGCCTAGGTGGAATCCTCAGACAAAAGGCCCCTTCTCACCTGTGGGGCCTAGTCTAGTAGAGATTCTAGGAGAATGTGAACAAATTTGGACACCACACTAAAAACAGTGGGGAAGAAGACTTCTTCAGGGTAACTGTCTGGGATAGATGCCTGTCTTTCTATTCACTTGCTGTTATGCACATAGCCCAGTGGCTGAGGCACTCATCTGAGAGGTGGTAATTGTATTTTCAAATTCCTACTCCACTTGATTTGGAGTAGAGACTTGAACCCAAGTCTCCTACATCCCAAGACAATATCCTAAGCACCAATCTATCTGTATGCTGGTTCCCACCCCCTGTTTAAACTGTTTTACTTTATATACATGAATGCTCACTGGATGAGAGATACTGACCACCTTTTGTGGCCAGTGGTTAGGTCACTCACCTGGGATGCAGGAAACTCAAGTTCAAGTACCTATTGCAATGCATTTTTCTACTTAAAAGCAAACTTCATTATCCCCAATTTACAGAGGGACAAACTCTGACATGGAGCCATTACTGCCAGTTGGTGACAAAGCTAGAAAGACAACTTGGGTATCCTAACTCTTAGCCCTATGCCTTTTTTAATTGACCAAAACTTCTTTAATATTATTAGTCAGAGTAATTTATTAAAAGTCGTTGTACTCTTTGGTGTTTTCTGCAAGAGGCCAAGATTTAAAATTTCTCCAGATTTCCAAACTGCCCACAGAATGTTGAGACTAAAATTCTAGAGATTTTGGTAAAATGTGCCTGCAGATTTATCCCATTAATAGCCAACACACAAATCAAAGATGCAAGGATGAGGATTATTAATGCCACTGCACTCTCCTCTCTCCACCCAAATTACACTGCTTACCAGGAGAATTAAAAATGGAGACAGACATTAAGACTTAAAAGAAAAATAAAGTCATATTTTCATAAAACACAGACTTATTGCATGATAGCTGGAGACAAACAGCTGTAAATCAAAACTGTCTTTTCCCTAAGCTTGCAAAGATTGCTTACAACATGTGGCAATAGGAGACTGTATAGAGGATTCTTTCTTTTTTCTTCACTTCCCAAAGATGATGAGTGAATATTCACTGGGTGAAGAGAATGACATTTTATTTTTCTCCCACACCACACTGCTACAGTTTAACACTTGATTTTTCCACCACCTGATTACTATTTTAGAGTTCTTTTCAGTTACTATTTAGGGGTTAGGTTTACATCATCAGCTATGCCACACCTGAAGGTGGGACCTGTTACAGAAACCTTGAAATCATAATTGTGTTTACTCTCCCCAGTAACCACTGGTGAGCTCTTAGTGTCCTGTTCCTGCTCATTTCAACTATGAGAAGGCTATCCAGTGTTTGAGTTCCTCCACACATTGCAATATCTGCGTGTAGTAAAAGTCCACGTTGGCTGCAAAGTCAGTACATACAGGTGATTCTGTGTCACCAAAGGTGCAGTACAGTGCAGTCCCTCCAATGCTAAGGAAAACTGTTGCTATGCACAGCAGGATCAACAAAATGCAGGAGCCGCCAGCAACTTCATCTGTAAATACATTAAAAAGAACATGTAAAACAAAAGGCCGTATGAAAGCTTTGTACCTATTGAGATGCACAGCATGAAATCCCAGAAGATATTTCAGATCAGCTTTATCCAATGAGGGGCCAGGAAGTATAGCATGTGCTGGATCTCTGTGTGGCAGTGACAAAAAAATATCCCAAGTCATAATACACCCATAAAATTGCCATAAGATTCAATATATGTGTTTCTGTATTGATGTAAAATAATCAGTTTTTGCCCAAACCGACGTAACCATCTGACTATTTCTGCAACAGTTGTCTGCTCTTTCGTTATGCCCTTCCTGTTACTTTTGTTGATCTCATCTGCTGAGTCATTTTATACTTAGAAAGATGTGTCCTGCAGGGCAAGGACCTGAAATAATAAAGAAAAGTCTATGCATAATGTTTACATTCCAGGGTTTTCGACTGCAAGAGAGAGTTAAAAGTTCTCTGGAGAAAGTTCCTCTGACAGGGGGGCTGGAAGGGGAGAGTTGGGAGGGAGAGAAACCAGACGTTGCTAGGAAATATGTTTCATAAAAGAGTGTTGCTTCAATTACATGTCATTCTTTGATGGGAAGCTTGAAAGGAAATTAAAAATTCAAATTTATTTTTTGAATAGATATTTTCAAATGTTGTCTTTCTTCTGTCCTACCCTTTCTTCCCCTTGATCCACTCACAGCAACAGAAAGAATGACAGGGTTTCCTCCTACTTTTTCCAGTCAAACTTTTTCAAACTTGTCCAGTTTTATAAAAATTAAAGAGCAGAAAATGTATGGGGAAATACAAAATTCAAGAATGAAAACTAAACTGCAAAACTTGATCTGATTAATTTACAGAATTCTTGCAAAAAAAATGACACATTCCAAATAAAAAATACTCTGTTACAAACCTTTTGCATAAAAGGGGCACCTTGGCTGGCTCTACACTGGAAGTTTTGGGGGCTTTTTATCTGTATGCAAGACACAATACAATTTTAAGTGCTTACAAAAAAATGTACTGTCCAGTAGCTGGAAGGATCCTTAATCCTACACAGAGTATTAAGGATATGTTACTACTTTTGGTGCAAGGGCTCCCTGTCAGTTCAAGGAGAAGAGATCTTTTGTTATACTCTGACAAGTTTTCCAGTCAGCATTTATCTATACAGGAAATGTCTACCAGTTACACCAGTATACTTTATATAAGTATATATGGTGGCCATTATGGACACTTGTTCCTGCATAAGAACAACTTTTGCAGTTTAGCTTAAAACTCCTTCCCAAGTGAGACAGCTAACCCAAATAAAGGCATTTTTACATTAGAATACAGTATCCTGAGGGGATTATATAGATACAAGTATTTTGGTTTACATTTCCACCTTCTCTTACACTAGCATGTCAAGAAATCCTCAGTGATTACCACCACACATAAATAAGGAAGAGTCATCTGCAACATATTGTGCAACTATAAATACTTCATAAAAGTGAAGTATTTTACAAAATTTCAACAACTCTTTCTACATAGAGCAAAAACAAAAGCCCAGTTCCATTTTTTTTAATATATCTTTTCCTTTGTTGGGGAATATATACTAAGGCTTTTGGTCTATTTAAATTGTAAGTTCTTCAATGCAAAGACCAACCCTGGAGATTAATTTCCACATTGCTGAACACAGTAAAGCCCTGGGTTGGGACCTCTAGGTGTTACTGAAATAAGTAATATTTAAAACATCTGTAAGAGGCAGCAGAAACAGATCTAAACTAAGTGTTTCCCCCTCTCACTATCAGTTTTATAGCTAAACTGTAAAATTAAGCCATTTATATTGCATCTAAAACAATCAGAAACTAAGATTATATGATAAATGTGGTGGCTGAAATGTGGGTAGGAACAAAATTGCAATATATACTATAAAATGATAACTGATCATGACCTGACTTCAGCTGAGCTGCAAGTATGCAGTACTTTTCAAAAGTCAGGCTCTTATATATAGTTAGTTTCAGAGAGAAGGTAAAACTCCACATAAGAAAAAAAGCTACAGATAAGTTACCCCTTGCTCTCTTATCACCTATACTGTAACTCACTGGATAGCTACTAATGCTTGTCAAAATGAGTCCTGGGTATTCAGCTTGAATTGTGGCTGAGGAGGAGTTTGAGTACTTTCCCCTGTTGTTTCTCTGGATTAAAGAGACGCTGTTTGAGTTGGAATATTTCAGTGGCTCCTAGGTAAACTGTGGATGCGAGGCCAGGAAAATTTGATTCTTAGAATGAAAGAATTATGCTTGTGCCTTAAAATACACTTTACAGACCTAGAATAGATCCACTCACACGCAAGCTCTTATTTACAATATTCCTCTTATTTACAATATTCCTCTTATGAATGCTGCACATACTTCATTCTGAGTAATCAAAACAAAAGTAAACTGACTTAATTCCGTCTACTTAAACAACATGCAGAAGACAAAGCCAAGTATCTGCTTTAATCATATTTCTTACCCTAAACCAAGAGTGTAAAACCAGGGTCTGCCAATAATCTGGAGGACTATTGGAAGTTGAGGGTGCTGCAGAATTTGGGGTCCCTAGACCTTGATGGATGAGGCTGTTGTTAACAACCACCCAGCCCTGTGTCCAAAGACGGTTTTGTGTGGGTGCTTGAATGTAGCCCCACTGCAGTTGCTGCTGGCCCTCTGGATCTCATCTGAGAGGAATCCCTATGGCCTGGATCCAGCTTGGGGCAAATTTGACACCCCTGCCCTAAACAGTTTAGGATTTACAGAATGAGAAACTTATGTTTCAGGGTCAAATTCTGCTCAATTACTCCAGTGAAGCACACTGAAGTCTATGGCAGGAGTGCTCAAACCCCAGCCTGAGGGGGTGCTGTCATCCGTAGTCAACTGCCATTACTCAGCCGGGTTGTTTGTCTCTGTGTCAACAGACACAGCTTGAGAAGCCATGGGTAGGAGTTCAACAGTAGAAGAAATTATATGAAAGGGTTGCATGACTTTAGGAAGTTTGAAAACCACTGTGTTTAAAAACCCCTGGATGCCAGAATTATAACAGAGTAGTATGCTAGTAAAATCCTAGGGGAAGTAAAAATATATTGAGGAACTTCATGCTAACACTTTCTGGTAGATTGAAAAAGTTAACTTCAGTGGAACAAGACACAGCCACAATACCTACTGTGCTCAAAGTGAGCAGCCTTTTCATATTTCTAATGATGTCTGATCAGTTTCTGCTACAAAATATTGTTAGTTCCAAATCTGTTAAAATTGCTGCCTGGCTAATTTTCTGTGTCAATAATGTATTCAATACTAGTCTGAAATACCCACAATAGACTATCCCTGACATTCTCATCATTATTTACAGTAGATTTAAATCAAACATCTCTACTTCCAGCAGAATGAGCTTTTAATGCTCCACCCCCTGGCAAGACAGTATTTCCAGGCACTCTATACAAAAGGAGATACCAAGCAGATTAAAAGACAAATATTCTGGTCTAAATGAGAACCGAGACACATTCTAAAGAACAGGAATAAAAGAAAAAGATTATCTATAGGTCTCTGTCCCAGCCCTGCATAGTCTCTCCCAGGGGGTCTAAATTGAAAAGCAAATAAACTGACAGGTAAAAACCCACTTCTTTTGCCTTGAAAAATAGAGAAAGCTTTCTGTGTGTGCAGAGAAACATCTTTCTATACATGTACTGGCCAGGGTCTGACCTCTCAAAGCTTTAAGCACAGGGAGCTCCAAAGGGAAATTGAGCCCTCCTCCCACAATACTTGTTTCTGCCCATCATGCCAAGCAGTTTTGAAGTGTGAGATAGTCTTTTGCTAATGGATCCAAACATCTGACAAACACCTTCCCCACAAAGGATCAAACACTTTCACCTGGACATGGGAGGGTGGCAGAGGAGTCAGGAGATCTGCAGCACTGACAGTTACCACCATTGAAAAGAAAAGGAATGGAGACAAATTCCATATTCTCCAGGATTCTCTTGCACCCCCCCACTCTCAGTCATAAAGGGAGGAGACAGAGTTAGTTTCCTACACCACTAGCAACAGTGATACAATCCACCCTCATCTCAGACGGGAAAAACTATACATTACTTCCCATCAATTAGTACTTTAGATACAAATAAATATTCCACTACTTTCCAGTTAAATGGTTCTGTAACGTATGAATTACTCAATCTCAGGTGACAAGTGGTAACAGTCTCAGAGTAACAAAGTGAAGTTCTGGCTGTGTAACACAGTAAAGTCTTTTTGGGCTGCATCCAGCTTAAATGTGGAGCACAAGTCCCACGAAAGTCACTGCTGTGATGAAGCTGCCATAAAGCTAGTGATGATGGACTACAGTAAAACTTATGCCAAAGACAGCAAAACACAGTTTTCTTATGCAAGTATTTAACGCACCACTATGCAGAGATCAAACATATTTAAAGATTTCAATTGCAAACAAACTGACCCAAGATTATCACAAATGAAGAGTAAAACTTCAAGCCTACCAGTCCCTCTGTCATACAAACAGGGTTTCTGAGTAGGCTGGTACACTGTAGTGGGCATGGGATACAAGAAAAAGCAAACATGCAAGGCTTTTGCACTCCATTGATGTTGGTTTAATTAAAACACCAGCTACTTGCTTTTCTATGCCAAACATTAAAAATGAAATTGAGGGACATCTAAGCAGCTGATAGAAAAGAGAGGAGCTGTCCTTTACAGCCCCAAAGTTGAGAACAGAAATGTGTTTACTGTCTCGCTCAGTGCTGGCATACAAGCAACTTTGAGCATCTTTGTCCATTTCTAGAAGTTTTAATACAGCCTATCACTACCCTCACTAGCAAGCCAACACAGGGCAGATAGGAGCACAGAGTACATACAATTAATTTAGTACACTTCTCTCATACGTATATACTAGTTTGGACTTGTTTTGCACACTAGAAAAAAAGCTATGAAGTATGCTACCTTGATCCAAGGTATCATCCATTTCTTGGAATCTCACTCTTCTCTTTTTCTGCTTCTGCTGAACTTGAGCAAGTGACTTTCCTTCTCTGTCATCTCTCTTCTTTAGTATGGACACCAGTCCTTCTGCTGGGGCAGTCTATGAAGAGAAGTTATAAGAAACATTTGGTGCATTGTCAGAACAGTGGGTAAAAATCCAGACATGAAACCCTTTTATTACTGGCTGGGAATTAGATGATTTTTGTAACACTACTGCTCTCATGAAATTGCTTCTTGAATGTATGCAGCTCCAAATACAAAGAACATTGGAAGTGTCAACTTGCAGTATCATTCCTTCACTTGCTGGGTGAACATTCATCTTCACCTTTTCCCACAGTTAAGTACCCATAAATCAACTTTCTTTGATCAGTCCTGGCACCAGTTTAGCCATACTTCATGTGGAATAATCAGTATTGGTCTGTATAAGATGTCTTCAAAGAATAAAAGTTAAGTGCATTTCTGTTTTTCCAAAGGCAATACCCTGGCACAGACCACCACACTACTCTTGGAATTTACACTGTGAGATTCATTTTCCAGTGTTGTGACTGGCATTCCTTGGAAGCAACAGACTACTCTGGAACTGCTCAAGTTCCTTACTGTAACATACTCTATGGATAACAAAGCAGGGCTGTACAATTCAAAACCCTCTTCTGTAAAAGGAGCCCCAAAATGCGTCTAGCTATGGGAACAGCTCACAAACAGCATTGTGGGCAGCAGGTCACTAGCCAAAGCTTCTCCTTTCTCCTCTTGCAATATTCAGTTCTGCTGCAAGACTATCTGCTGTGTAGTCCCATGTAGCCAGATCCTGAGCATCATGTTGTTTCTGGTGAGCACAGAAATGACAGGGAAAGCCACTGGGATGGGAGAAAATAAGGAGTGAAGAATATATGTACACACA